CACACTCTTGAATTTCCTTAAACATCTTGACTTCAGGTTTAGTTTATTAATGCAGGGTTTGTATGTGTACGTGTGTATGCTTTAAGCAGGGATCTACTCTTTTGTAGTGGCTTCCCTCATTTCTGTTTTATGTAGTCTTCTGAATCCCTCATATTCCACAAGCTCAATTATAAATTGAAAGTAAGCTTTTTTCTCTGCTTTTGCATATAGATTGAGAAATTTTCAGGAAAATGGCTGAGCTTCCATCTTAATTACTAGAAACACTTGGAAACCAATATTAACATTTTTTATTTTCGTTGGTCTTTGGAATACTCAGACACCTCTTTGCCAAAAGCATTATCCAAACCAATAAGTGCTATATTCTTTGCCCTAAATAGAAAATCTCATTCTGGCATTCCTATCACCACAGATTTGTTCTACGGAACCCACTTGATGTTGATCCCTGAGCCATGCACAGATTTCTCCAACCAGACACATCATGGTTTCCAAGTTAAATAAGAAAAATGCACTTAATTATCTAGCCATGCACAATATAAAATGCCTGGCTACCCAAGAGCATTTCACTTGTTCTAACTAACCAGTCACTTTCAAGGAGGCAGTCGGCTAGCTTAAAGTGTTGTTGTTAAATGCTGCTCTGACTCACAGTGACTCTATATAGGGTTTCTGAGGAGCTTCTGGTGGGTTTGAACTGTCAACCTTGTGGTTAGCAGTCTAGTGCTTATACTATAGCACTACACCATCTTATGGAGCAGTTCTATTCTGTCCTATTCAGTTGCTGTGAGTTGCACTTGACACCATTGCAATGGGTTTGGGTTTCATTTTTGTTTTTTAGTTAGTATAACTGACCCCTCACCACACCACCTGTACATTTGTTTTTTGTCTGTGGAAGAAAATGACAAATCACATAGACAAGGACTATATTTCAAATACTTGTCCAGCACATTACAAGTACTTATTGTTATTGTTGTTAAGTACCATCGAATTGGTTCTAACTCACAGTGATCCTGTATAGGGTTTCTGAGGAGCAGCTAGTGAGTTTGAAGCACTGATCTTGTGGTTCAGACCAACGCATTATTCTACAGTGCCACACCAGGACTCCTAGAAGCGGAGTATGGAAGGTGGGGAATTAGAAATGCTAAATAGTTGTCCCAAGATTAATCTGAGTAAGTATTTATCATTATTCATGCTTTATCAATAGTGAAATATGGTGGAGTATCCACATATAAATACAATGTGGACAACTTGAGTATTGAAAATAGAAGAAAAGAGACATAAGTCCCACAGTTTGACGCTAGAGTATCCACTACAGTAAAAGCTGGGATGAGAAGAGTTTGAATGACAGAACAGTGTTTTGTGAAGGAAAACGATCTGTTATGATAGATGAGGCATTCTGTTCCTGTAAAAATTTACAGCCTAGGAAACTCTATACAGGTTTGCTAGGAGTCAGAACCGACTCCACTGTACATTATCACCACTACCATCATGTTTGAAAACACACGATGATGCTTTAGTCATAAACTTAATTTAAAAATTTAGGTAGTATTCTGGAGTATTCTTTATAGTTGAAACAACTGTATTTATATTATAAAAGATAAAATATAAAAATACACTAAATAAATATGTTTTAGGCATTAGGTACAAGGAGCTCTGGTAGCGTAGTGGTTACGAATTGGGCAGCGAACCTCAAGGTCAGCAGTTCGAAACCACCAGCTGTTCTGTGGGAGAAAGATGAGGCTTTCTGCTTCTGTAAAGATTTACAGCCTCGGAAACCCTGTACAGGGTCACTATGAGTCAGACCCGACTTCATGGCATATAACCACCACACTATAGGCATTAAGTGGTTTGTATAGTCTCACATACTTTTCAAGAATATCCCAGAGGTAAGAAAAATTATCTATTTTTACCCTAAAGAAGTTCAGTGTCAAGAAGGTAAAGTAACCAGCCCAAGGGCACATAGTTATGCTCTTTCATCCACCCTGCACAGCTTCTATGAATAGCCAATCTGTTCAAGTATTCATGGAAGGCGAATTTCACAGTGATGTCTTTATAATGTGCATTAAGATACAGTATGAACTTTGAATTTCATCATTGGTTGGTTATTCAACCATTAATCAATCAGTCAACACTGCTATTTGACTATCTAACAGTGACAAATAATGTGTTGAAAAAAATATACTGAGAATTCTAAGGGAAAATAATTTTATTACTAGGACTGGATATCATCTGAAGGAGAAGATAGGATATGCTCAAATTTACAGAAGAAAATGTATGTGCCAACAGATACATAGGAACATACAGATGTATTCTGTAAGCAATATGAGGGTGAGTCAAAAAATATTGGTACTATGGCTCCAGTTCATACATGCACAGTTTCATTCTAAATAAAATGTATTTAAACATGTTTCTGCAATCAGTGAAAAGCAGCAGAAAAGTTGTTTTAGCAATACATATGTGTTAATCTCTTCAGGGTGCCTTAAAAACAACAACAAAAAGGCAGGCCCCTGTAAAAGTTGTGGCTTTTGAGGGATTTGCTGAGCCAGGTACATTCAATGCAAACAGGTCAGCTCAGAAGCTTATGATAGTTGTTTGGGGATTCCAAAGTGATAATCTTGATAGATTTTCACAAAGAACATAGAATGATCACAGAAGCTGATCAGGAAGAAGTTTTAAGAAAATCAAAAACTGTATTGGTGATAACAAACAAACAAACAAACAGGGAAGTTGCACTCAGTAATTTTTTGAGGGTGGCAAGGGCTATGAGAATTTCGTTGGGAAAGCTTACACCATATACCCTACAACTCTAATTTTTCCTATTCAACCTTCTTTTTGTTTCCCAAACTCAGAGAACATTTAAATGAACACCATTTGAGTCCCTCAAGGATACCAAAACTACCATTTTGAAGTGGTGTAAATCAAAGTACAAAATTGGGGGTGGGTGGGGGAGGGAGGGATAAAAAAATGGCAACATTGTCTTCGGTCATATATAGACATAGATGGAGGATATATTGAGAAACAATTGCTTCACATTTTAATAGTTTGCTTAATGAAAGGTTAGGTATGTTTACATTTAAAAGTTAAATTTTATAGAATTTTAACATTATTGGTGTTTATTATATGTCACACTAATGAACTATCATTGAATCCTCATATTAACCTTGAAAAGAAGGTGCTAATATTATCTCAACTTTAACAGTGTTGACATTAGGGCAAAGAGAGGTCAAAGCAGTTTGCCCAGGTTAAGTATTCAGTACACACTGACAATGCGTTACAATGCATTTTAATTTCCAAAACTTTCATTAGTTTGAATTAATCACCCATCATTAAACAAACAGCTCGTCATAATCTAAAGTTACCTTTAAACATTAACACTATTCTTTTTAACTGTTTATTAAGTAGGATGCTGGAGGTGCAGTGGGGGAGAAGTTTAAATACCCTTACAATCTTAGAGTGATTTTTTTGAATGAAACCTTTACATGTCTTTGTATTAGTTATATTTTTAAACTATGGTAAGGTATCACTTTTGTCAATTTATGAACAGTTTACTCCCACTGTCCAAAATTGCTTTATATATACATTGCTCAGTGCTGCCCATCAAATAACCTCTAAGTAATTGTTTTTTGTTTTTTTTTTTTACAAAAAATGATGTTTGTAATGTGTGTGCTACATTAAAGAAATTCACACAGTCATTAATCCCCAAATTACCAATCATTTGTCAAATTTAAGTAGTCTTTGTAGCCAAACAATGTTGTTTTCCTTGATGGTAAACTCTCATTACTAAAAATCATCAAGCTTCCGTTCTCTAAAATGAATTATCATTCTAGACACCTGCTAAGGCAATTCTGTGATTTAATGAGTAGGGCAGGGCCCTAGGAAGATTTTCTCCCCTTGCCTTCTATATCTATGCTTCTTTACCTTGCTCTCTGGAGGGGAGGCAACGAGCTGGAGGGCCCCCCCCCCGACTTAGGCAGAGACCCAAAGGGATCCCAGAAGCGTGCTGTACATAAATGCAGATCCATAAATGCAGATCCATAGCTACATTCAAACTCACGCACACAATGTAACACATTCGTATGCATGTGGTGTGAGCCCTCTTGGGACTCCCACTTATTCACCTGACTCTGGGGAACCTGGGAATCACAGTAATTCCTTGTAAATGAGGGAATAGTGAGATGAGGCAAACTGCCTCTTTTCCTTCTCTATCAGCTGGCCCCGCTGTGTCCCAGGCATCTGCAATGTCTCCTCTCAGAAGCAGCTAATAAAGGGAGACTGAGAAGATAAGCAAGAGGAGAATACTGAACGAGGAAGGGGCTGATGTACAAGAAATGATGCTTCAGGAGTCACTGAGCTATGGTTTCTGTGTTTTTACACACAAAACTCTAAGGAGCTAGCTGGAAAGGGGGCAAAGAAACCTCCAATCTAAAAATCTTCTGAGATTATGTTCCTAATTGAGTCTAGAAATCCCAGCTCGGCTGTGTCCTGTGGGTTTGTGGAGTCTACACAAGTGCCGACTAACGCACGGGCTGAAACTCGCAGCGCGGCATCTAGCACTGTGCGTTTTGGAGCGGTTTGCCCTCTGAAGACAATATCCTCGCAACCATTTTCTCAGGCACTGCGAGGATTTCTGAAGCCATCCAGCTGCTGCCTCCGAAGGGAGTTTCTAGAAGCTCCATTTCTACTGCTTCCCCTCCCTTTTCCTTTCTGTTTTATTTTTTAGCGCCCCCCCCCTTCCCCACACACACACAGAGCGTCTTCAGCTCCATAGCATCGGGCTTCCGAGGGGTACAGGTGCCACCGTCCCAGCTGTTGCCGCTTGTCCGCCGAAGCCGCCTCCTCCCGGAGGACCTGGGGGCTTGACCCCGTGCTGCAACATCGCGAACAGTCTCGTGCCAGTTTGCCGCGGTTGCTGCTCATCGCCCGGGACTCCCCGCCCTTCCGCGCGACCCCGCGCTGGGGCGGGCGGCGCTTGCGGCGGGCAGGGGGCGGGGAGGGGAGCTGGGACTGGTCCGGGGGTAGCCGCCTCCTCCGCAGCCAGCCCGCACCTCGAAACCCGGACCCGCCTCCACCTCTTCCACCAGCCGTTCCATCCCGCCTCCAGCTACCCCCGCCGCCGCGCCCCCGGTGGCTGCCTCGGCGGAGCGGGGAGGGGGCCCGCCGCGTCCGCTGTCCGCCCGGTTCGGCCCAGCCCGGCCAGGGAGGTGTGCATGCCCCGGCTGCCCGCTGCGCTCACCAGCAGCATGCTCTATTTCCAGATGGTGATTATGGCTGGGACGGTGATGCTGGCGTATTACTTCGAGTACACGGACACGTTCACCGTCAACGTGCAAGGTTTCTTCTGTCACGACAGCGCCTACCGCAAGCCCTACCCAGGCCCGGAGGACAGCAGCGCCGTGCCCCCCGTTCTCCTCTATTCGCTGGCCGCTGGGGTTCCAGTGCTCGTGGTAAGCCCGAGGCGCTCGCCTTCGCCTCCAACTCCCTACTTTTGTCCCTTTTCTTAGGGGGTGAAGCACGGTTCAGAATTGGGGCGCAGCTGCCTTTGCGTTCTAAGTTCCTGCAAGTTGTTGGTAACCCCTTCCCCAGAGGGCATTCTTCTAGGACGAGTGAATGGTGGGTGGAAAGGAAGCCTGTCTTTCCCCACATGCCACCCCCGCACCCCCTAAGGTGGTTGCAGTATTGGGTGATGGGGGGAGGGGGAGGAAGGGGACTGTAAGGATGGCTGTAAGGTGGTGGTCTGGTCTAGGAAGGAGGTAAGAGATTGAGATAAAGTCTTCATTCACTGTGTGGCTGTGCTTCGCTAGCGCTCATTTTATACTGGAGGATGAGCAACAGCAGGGCTTTGCTAGGAGAGTGGGATCATTTTTGGTGTCTGGAAGGCATTCCTGCTTTTGGAGTCTGGGCACATATTCCTATTATACCATCTTCATCCCTTTCAAGATGAGGATGCAAATGAGCCCAAGTTAACCAGGAAACAAATATCCAAAAGCGAGTATGAGAATTTCTGAATGAAAAGGTCCACAGCAGTGCTTTGCTGAAAAGCAGGGCCAATGTTTAAATTGGAAGAGCACTTCAGATTTATTTAAAGGAAGCTCTGTTGCCTGGACAGCCTAAGTCCTTTTCTCTAGGAGCCTGGCTGCCTTAAGGATGTATGGATTTGCCTTATGGATGTATGGATTTGTGTACGTTTGTGTACGTGTGTGTACAGACACATATACATACAATGGTTGTTGGGGTAATAATCAGATAATAATTTGAACATGCGAATATGGTGCAAAGTTATTGGAAGGAGATTTTTTTTTTTTTTTTAAGAAAACCTGCTTCATTATGATTTCTTTGACAAAGTACTGAAGATTACCTGTATAGAGACTTGCCTTTCTGCCCGTGTTTAACAGGCAAAAATAGAAATTTAGAACATGAGAGGAAAGGGAAACTGCATTTTAATTTTCAGCTGCTCAATGTGAAAATTCTAATAATAAATGTTAAGAACATTTGTTATATCCATTGGGTTTGGATAGTTTTCTTAATTTCTGGGAAATCATTTAATTAAAATAATAATGGTGAAATTTCTAACACATACACAATGGGATTCCACAAGCAAACCAAGGAACTTCTTGATAACTTCAGAGTAACTTTGTTTATCACAGGTACTGGGATAGTTGACTTCAAATTCATTTTCAGCATTTTAATTTGAAATGTGTCAAACCTTGCAGCAGATATGTTTTGTTCCTTTTATATATTGTAATTTACTAAAATGTATCAGAAGCTCCAAATCCAGTTCATGATTGTGCTCACTCTCCTCCACTTGAAAAACTGGAAGAGTTTAAAAAAAAAAGATTGGTCTGTTTCTTGGGCCATTTTTACAGAATAGTTCAGAGATTTTTCAAGGCTATTAAAAAAAAAAAAAAAAAGCTGTTACATGGTTTGATTGCAACCATAATCTATAGTATCTGTAATGTATCACTTAATAATTTGTTCTATGTTATTTAAAGGAGATAGCAGTTTTCCTTATCCTAACCATCTATCCATGGGTACAGATACCAGTAAGAGACAAGAACACAGTGGCCCAAAGATGCTGATTAGTTTTCACTAAGGGTGACAGGTACCTAGAAGGGGGAAAAGGAATTAGTCATTGTTGAGTGTTTACTTAGCTAGGCTAGTCATTGTTGCTGGTTACTGTTGAGTGATTTAGACTCATGGTAACCCGTGTCTGCATGTAGAACTGCTCCATGGTTTTTGGTTGTTATTTTCCCTCCAAATTTATTTTGCTGCTGAGAATATACACAGCAAATCCCAGAACAATTAGACAGTTTCTAGACGTACAAGTCAGTGACACTGATTATATGCTTTGAGCTTCTCACCCTCTTTTTCTGAGTTGTTCTTCACACGATTTTCAAGGCTGTGAATTTGCAGAGGCAGATTGCCAGGCGTGCCTTCCCAGGTATCTCTGGGTGGGTTTGAGCCACCAACCTTTGATTAGTCAAGTACTTAACTGTTTGTATCACCCAAGGATTCCTGAATAGTCATGTTGTTGTTGTTAAGTGCCTAGAGTCAGTTCCGACTCATAGCAACCCTGTATAGGGTTTCCTAGGAGCGGCAGGTGAGTTTGAACTATCAACCTTGCGGTTCAAACCATCCTTAAGGTTGAATGCTTGCCCTATGGCGCCACACCAGGACTCCCTGAATAGTCATGTTGTTGTTATTGTTAAGTGCTGTCGAGTCAATTCTGACCCATAGCGACCCTGTATAGGATTTCTGAGGAAAAGCTGGTGAGCTTGAACCATCAACCTCGCAGTTCAAACGGCTTTGCATTCTGGCACATTAAACCATAGTCGCATGTATTTCTCACAGCGGCCCTTCCCAGAGTTACTATATCCAAATAACTTTTTGAAGAAATTGAGTTTCAAATCCTATGTTCAAAACATCTGAAAACAATAATAGTTTAGTCAATGTGCATGAAACTGATACCAAGTGTTATGCAAATTTCCCAGCTCCAAATATCATGTCTTCTGAGAGAAGATCAGAGATGGCTGATAGGCAGGCGAGAAGGATATATGCAGGAAATTTATAAAAGGGAGGAACCAACTGATATTTATGTTTTGACTTTCATTTCTTTTAGGGCCTTTTAAGAGGAAAGATTTGGGAGTCAAGCTAAAGAAAAGGAAATATTAGGTTTTGGAGCACAGCAGTGCTGTTAACTTTTGTTTCCCCTTCTGCTCCTTGGAGTAGTATACTCTGCTACCACTGGACGAGTCGGAAGCAGTAATGGCAGCTCAGCATTCCAGTCAAGAAAACTGAGCACAATCATTTTGTCATAAAAGTAATAATTAATATTAATAGTATCCATCGTTTGTGGAGCTATTACTTCTTTCTGGATACTCTAATAGACTTTCTACATACACATCTCTTCCCACATGATACTCCCACACCCTCAGTGGTGGCTACGGTGATGTGTGTTGAGAGGGAAATGAGGCTGTAAGGAAGTGATGGGTGGTAGTTGGGGTTTGAGAGATTTGCTGTAATATATGAGACTATAACTATTCAGAAAGGAGCTCTGATAGCGTACTGGTTACGAATTGGGCTGCTAATCTCAAGGTCAGCAGTTCAAAACTACCAGCTGTTCTGCGAGAGAAAGATGAGGCTTTCTGCTCCCGTAAAGATTTACAGTCTCGGAAACCCTGTGCAGGTTCACTATGAGTCGGAACCGACTTCACGGCACATAACAACAACAACAACATAACTATTCAGAAGTTCTTGGTGTCACAAAGGATCAAACAAGCCCCAGACTACTAACTAATGGGGTTGTTGGTTCAAACTCACCAAGAAGCTTTTCTAAATATACTATTTATATTCTATTATATCTGAAATAATAGTTCATTATCTTCCTCTAACATTTTGGAAAACTGAGACTTAGCGAAATCAAGTAACCTGCTCCAGGAAGAGGGCTAATGAAATATTACAGCCAGAATTTTAACTCTAGTCTGTGAAGCCACCAGGCCTATACTTTTTCTATTGTAATGTGCAAGTGCAACTTATTTATAAAACAGTTTCTACATAATGACTCCAAGAAAGATAACTTTTTCCTGTATCTTACTGTTGTGATAAAAGTTCTTTATAACACATATATTTTAACTTTCTAAATTGTGTTCTTGAAAGAGTGACTGCCTTGACTTGTTTCTATGAATGGTATGGGAGAAACAAAAGTGTATAACTGAGTAAAACTGGGGTCCCATTGATGAGACTTGGAATGCTAAGCTGAGAGACGAGTCTTCATTTGTTTGAGATTGACCAGGATCTAGTATGAATGATTAGTGGTGTGTTGGATGGTATTCTAGCAGTAATGTGTAGGGTTCTTCATGTCTATATGTATACATATAATAAATCTTTATCCCCAATTCTGTTTTTTCTTATTAATCTCATTTTTTTAAATTGTGCTTTCAGAAAACACAAACAATTTAGGCTTCTTATATGATGACAGAGCTTATAATTTCTCAAGACAGGTACTGTTCAATATGACCTGTATAGCATTTGCCAAAGTACTAGCTACAGCATGCAATTTAATTACTGAAAATTGGTTTTGATTGCTTAAAAGAACAGGTAAAATCTATAGTTTCTGCCCCCTCAATTTGGGGATAACGGTCACTAACAGCATTGTTCCTTTTATCTCTTAGTAACACAGAGCATTTGAACGGGATCCAACTAGACTATCCATATCCATAGGGCTAAAACCAAGATAAATAACAAACAAACAAGCAATCCAGTGCCAAGTCAGGTAGTTGCTGACACCAGTCAGGCAGGTTTGAGGGTTAAGGGCCACCTTGTTTCTTTATGTCTGTGTTTCCAAAATACTCGCTGGCCGTGGTTACCACTACTGCTGATGAGGTGGATAATGACAGAGGGAAATATCATATACAGAGCCCCGTCACATAGGATCAGAGGAATTGCAGCTTTCCCATAGTCTCTTTTCTTCAGATGCCTTTCCTCTCCACAGCCAGGAGCACAGTCCTGTGATGTGGTGCAGGAGAAAAAGCACTGGTGTCAGACAAGTCTAGATTCTTATACAGGTTTCTCTTGCATACTAGTTGTACAAATGTAAATAAAATGTTCTTATTTGAAAACTTGAGATAAAAATACTGACCACTTGAGAGACCTTATATGTAAAGGTTAAGGTTGCAGACTTTGACATCAGGCTGCTTGAGTTTGAAACCCAGTCTGCCACTTTGCAACTGTGTAAACTTGGTCCATTTAGTCTCATCTGACTTCAGTTTCTTAGATTGTAAAATGAGGATAATCTAAGTACTGGTTTCACACAGTTCTTAGATAATAAACTGGGTCAACATATGCAAGTATCAAAGTAGAGTAGCACCCAGCTTCAGCTGCTATTCCTCCTAAGGCTGTGGTATTAATCAAGATAATCTATTTCAAAATCTAGCAAAATCCCTTTGCT